ATCTAGGTTTTTACTCGACTGGCACTAGAATAGACAAAATCTCAAGTCTACATAGGGGTAGACTTATCCCTGTAAGTTGGCTTTTACATTGATTTGAATAGGCGAACAAAAATCTTATTTTATAATAATCCCAATAATATCTAGAACTTCAAATGAACTTAATAATTCAAATAAACTCAAACTGTTTTAATTTGTTGTAATTATAAAGCTCAATTACGAATTACAATACTTTCATAAAAATAATGATTTTTACATAACTATTATTACCATAAATTGTTATCAATATTAAGACGTGAAATAAATTCTAATTTTTTTTAATTTGTTGTAATTATAAAGCTCAATTACGAATTACAATACTTTCATAAAAATAATGATTTTTACATAACTATTATTACCATAAATTGTTATCAATATTAAGACGTGAAATAAATTCTAATTTTTAAGTAATTGTTTGCCTTTAAAATTATTTTCAAAACAATTTTTTCTCAATTCTCAGGAATTGGTGGCAAAATGTTGTTTGCATTTTGAGTCACCTTTAGATCCAATGCTGTGACAAAGAGTTTGCATTTCACCACAACTTCCCTCTTGTCGTCAAAACTAATCTTTTGTTATGTTTTATATCTTTCAGACAACGAAGACATGGAAACGATGTTTGGATTCAATGAGTGGTCAGAGAGGGAGTCCTGGTCTTCGATATCGTGAGAAGTGGTCAGTACTTGAGGTTATGTTCAAACTCTTTGTTGATCACAATTATGACTCAAATGCGCAAAATATTTGAATTGAAATATTGATTAAAAACATTTGTAAATTTAATAGAAGTAATAAAATATTATTTAATAATTTTGGTGATAGGAAAATAAGTGGCTTATTTTGGCAAAATAACTGGTCATTCGCCACAACACTTCCGGTGAAGAGGGTCTGTCCTTCAGTTCGCTCTTCATGTGAGCGTAGAGTTTCTCATTGACGACACCCTCTGTGTCGGCAGAGTTGTTGATCTGTTGATCCCATTCCTGGTAATTAATGGTCATATCCTATGCTTTAGTGGTGATTGTGGTCGAGCGCCGGTCCACTCACTGATTGCCACAACTGTCCGATCTTTCACTCTATGCTTATTTAAGCAACAATTAGCCATTTATTAGCCATTTGTTCAAAATTATAGCATTTTTTATCTCACAAAATAAGTCAACAAAATATTTTTAATGAATTTTAATTTAAATTATACTTAATTTACATGCATTTATTGAACTACTGTTGCACTTACAGACACCACAATTACACTCACCAGCATCTGAACATACCTGTGCCGCTTATATAGATAAATTTATATTAATGCTGAATTTATTATTATTATTTCTCATTTACTAAATTGATTACCTTTTGCTGTCCATTAACTGTTTGACTACACCAACTCGGGTCTGTGGGACAGTCGCAGTATTTTCCTGTATAACCTTTAGTACAGTTACACTTGGATTCAATACACCTGCCGTTCCCGTTGCATATCTTAAGGTCCTTATCGTTGTCGGGATGACAGTTGGAGTCGTCGTACTGACAGTAGTCGCCGGAAAAGCCGTAATCGCAGCTACACTGGAAACACTCACACCTCCCACGACCACTACATATCCTGAATATGTCTGCTCATATAATCACACAATTAGATCACCAAATGGTTTATTTATAATTATCTCTTACCCTTATGTTTGCAACGAGCATCAGGGTCTTTATGAACAATAGGTTTTTCGAGATCGCATTCGCACTGCTCGCCCGCCCGGTTGCCATTACAAGCGGCACATATACCACAGGCAAAGGTGCCGGCGTTGTGACACTCGGCAGAGTTCTTCACTATTTTGTCGGGCTTTTCGCACTCGCATTCACATAGCATTTGTAAATCAATTTCCACGCTTTCGTTGATATTCGTTAAGCCTTTTAAAATAATATCCAAACTAATTGCCACATCTATTAAAATTGAATTCTCAATGAAATACCGATTTTAATCTTCTGCTCCCAAAGAGATCTGTCTGCAGGACATGACTTCACTCTGATGTCTGCGAAGAATGTGATGTCCGGCCGTCCCTTAAACGTACACTTATTGGTCTTCATTTCGGTCTCAGTTTCACACTTTGAGTGCAAATCAATTTCAATGAAATCAGATATTCGTTCGACTCTCAGTTCAACCGACGACCGAATATTCATGAGATCCATGGGGTAGTCATCTGCCTGTCGGAAATGGATCGGTATTCTCCACGAGGAATTATTTCTCATAGAAAGCCTATGTTTCTGAGGTTTCAGTTGAACTATTGAACCAAACTTTTTACTAAACTCTTTATCCAGTATTGTCCGGACAGTCATTTGCGGTCCAATCATCTTATCTTTGCTGCAGTCATGAGACCGGAGCTGATGTTCGCCATTACATCTGAATGGGTGGCTAAAGGTGTCGTCTTCGCACCAAAAACAGTCCTTTGACTCCGATATGCATTCCCCACAAGTCTTGGCACTCAAACACTGTCCTAAAAATACAATTTCATAACACTATTAATCGTATTCTGAATTATTTATGTAATTCTTTATAAATTCCTTTTGATAATAGTATGAAATTTGAGAAATATGTGATGACTACTAAAAATGTATATTTTAAAAACATTTTAAATGTCTTAATTAATAAATTCAATGAAAACTCATATTTATTGGGAAATTATATTTTATTGTAACCGTAAATAAAATTCACATCCGAGTCAATCAATTTTGAAAGGGAAGTTTATCTCCTTTTGTAGCTCCTTTTATATACTATATATATTATATAGAGACATAAATTGAAAATCGACTCATTATATTGAAAAGCAATAAAATATCATAATTTATGATCATTTTTAAGTTTGGTTAACCCGTTGTGAGACATTTTATCCATTCTGTCCCGAGATTTTCATACACCTGTGTGTGGAGGGGTCGGGAAAGGGATATCAAGTGCTGTGTTGTGTCATGGCTTTGGTCGTGATCTCGAGTGGACAGGGATTTGCTTCAAAAATTGAACACAACTTCTAATAAGTTTGGAGATGTGGTGAGCATTGGGACGATTTGGTCGTTATAATCGTTGGTTCCCTTCATTTAGTCAACACTTGAGGTTATGGTTCCGAGACTTTTCACACACCTGTGTGTGAAAGGGAGAGGGAAAGGGATAGGGGTGATCCACAAGGTACTTACGCACGCCTAAGGGGGAGGGGGCTCATGCCAAAAACGTATGAAAGCGTATGTTATATTGGGGAGGGGTTATGTTATAGTGTATGTACGCAAAAGGGGGTTTTTATCTTAAATATTTGTTATTTGATAAGAAATTATTGAAAGGATTAGAGTTTAAAATGCTAATCCACATCACATGAGTGAAAGTTTGAAAGCATTTCAATGTGTGAATGAATGGAAAACTAGTTTTATAAGTTTTATTGAAAGCATTCATTATTTTGTGTTCATTTATTCAATAATTTTGTGCAAAAATGTCTTCAATTATGCCGTCATATGAAGAGTTTTTAAAAGTATTTCTACCGCACTGTCTGTCAATCGGCCAAAAAAGCCGACAGAAGTCCCGATATTTATATTATCAATGATTTTAATGAATGGTATAATAAATAATTGATTTGAAATATTGTTTCGTTATTAAGGGAGGGGGGTTGGTAACAAAGCGTATGTACGCTTGAGGGGGGTCTTGATATGCGCACGATGTGCAACTAGAGGGGAGGGGGCCAATTTTAGGCCTAATTTTTGCGTACGTACTTTGTGGATGACCCCATATCAAGTGTTGACAGGTTTTCACTATTTCTGAATGTTTTGTTAACTTTGATTGATTACAGATAATCACTGATTGTATGGCTAAGTCATTATTGGTCTCCGGATGAGGACTAAGAGGACTTTAATTGATTTGTAATATTTATTCAAACATTTGATTGAAATGAATGCAAACTCTTTGTTCTGAACAATTATGACTCAAATGCGCAAAATATTTGAATTGAAATATTGATTAAAAACATTAATTATTTGTAAATTTGATAAAATTAATAAAATATTATTTAATAATTTTGGTCATACGATAATAAGTGTAATTAACAAAAGTCATGTTAATGAGAGTAATATAGTATTTATGTAATCTCTAAATGATTTAATGAACATAAAGTTGATACTGTATTAGTGTTGAAAATAAGTATTATATTCGCACTTGTAATAAAAAATGATTTATAATTAATATAAAAATTATCTTTACCCGACTTTTATTCATAAGATTTCCAACAGATAATCTCTAGTCTCAGATTTTTGTACTACTTTTTGCAATAAATAGTTATATAACTACATTAGATATCAGTAATTGTCTCAATGTCTTAAAGTACTAAACTTGAGCTTAAGTTCTTAATTCGTTAACTGAGAAATGGATTTATTTAAGTTTTTGATTATTTGCTTACTTATAGCAAATACTGTAATCATAGGCTATTCGTTTGATAATAATAAAGGTATTAGTTTGCTGTAAATAACTTTTTACTGAAAAATAATTTCATTTGTCATTCAATTACAGAAACTGATTATGAATTTGACCCCGATTCTGATTCATCACACTATGAATTAGTTAATAGCTCATCTAGTACCACTGAAGATCCTACCACAATTATTGGCGATGATCCCATTAGTAGCTCAACCACTGAATTGGCCACAAAGTCTGTGGTGTCGACCCCTATAGCCACGGAATCAGTTGCAGTGACAATTACCTCAACCCTACCACCACCGTCGACCACTCCAGAGATAACAATTTCAGTGCCATTGTGTAATATTGATGGCAGATATGATGGCCAGTACGGTATTAAACACTGGCCACCCGTTCCCATCGGACGCTATTCACGTGTTAAATGTCCTCACGAGGAGTCGGGTCACGCCTACTGGAAATGTATGCAAAACGGTCTGTTCTCGTCTCACGGCCCCAATTGGACTCATTGTGACCACTGGTTGGAGGAATTGGACAAAACAGACATCGATAGCGTGGACACTGCTATTGATGTGATCGAAACTATCACCAAAAAGACTTATAATAACAACACTATCGTTGAAAGCGAAAAGTTGTCCAAAGTTTTAGATATCGTGTCGAAAGTGCAGTCGTTTGTGGAGAACGCAAACGACAGCAGTTTAGTGGTCGTCAAGAACTACACCCACGGAGTGATCAACACTTTTAGTCATATTCTCGACCAGAAGTACGCGTGGATTAACTCAACCTCTAAGGAGAAGACTAATCTCGCCTCAAAGATATTGCTCACCACTCAGTCATCCTCTTATACCCTATCATTACAGCAAAATAGGTCCACAAAATCGG